ATGTAATCATATAATACGTGCCGGACAGACTGTCACGGGCTTCATTTACCTGGACGCTAGATGGGGAACAAGAACCAGTATTAGCCTAAAACATTAAGCCACTAAATGGCAACCTTTTCACCCTCTACACGTCACGTAGCTGACACATGCATTAAAACTGGGGTCTTTTTTGAATAAATTACTGAAAATTCTTAATTAAAATTTCTGAGTGATTAACCTCACCTAAGAGGGTTCAGAAATGCATAATTTGAAAAGGTTAATAGTAGGAATCAATCTAACCACTACATTAAGATTAATTTAAGTCTGTATTTACATCACAAATCAGACTAAATTTGACCACTATATAGATATTTCTTTTCTCGTTACCCACCTATTTACACTTAAAGAGTCATATTTCATACTATATTATGTGAAGTATCAAAACTGACATGATAAAAAAGTGCACAGGCTGCCAATGAGAGTTTTGCTTTGTTTCTTTCTGACAACAGCTACACTGCAATTGAATTTTGCTCTTTGTAACTATGAGTACATACTGTCTTTAAGAATTATATCTAAAAGAGCTACAGAATGATTAATTATAGTCACTGACCAGTCAGGTAACACTCTTATTACAGTTCAGTAAATGTTAGGCAGGATTTACTATTAGGTTCATGAATTACAGATCTGCCACCACTTCTAACATCCTTTGCTTATGTTGAACCACAACCAGCTGAAAGGTCTCCTTACTGCTTCCCAAATCCTCCTCTGACATTTTCTCTTAAAAGAGAGTAACAGGGTTAGCTGCTAAGTGGTGTCATCTAACGCAGCTTTTTTATTGATTTCCCGCTGCTAGCTTTAACAAAAAAAAGTGTGAAGTCTAGGTAAAATAAAATGGCATGAAAGAGGCTACTGAAAGGCTGTCATCGAATGGGGTAAATCTCAATTTGACCTTATTTTCATCTGTTGTGTCTGGAAAGAAGGAAACCGGGGAGATGAAGCCGTCATCAGAGTGAGTTTCTATATCAACAGCAAACAAAAACATACTTCACTGTCCACCCACTTGCTTTACTTCCACTATAAAGAAAAAGTGAGTCATAGGGAGTTTGTTAAACATGACGTCATCTGCCTCATCCATTTGTGACCAAGCCCTGTTCTGTGGTCTAGTAAGACTAGTATCACTGCTTGCTTAAAATTATATAATTTGCCCCTGACCTCAGCAGCTGCAGGAAGAAAACTGACAAATGACAGATTGGTCATGGCAGACACGATGTTTAGAAGCCCTGCAGTCATTTTATTACCAAGACAACACTTATGGACTAAGAAGAGAATATCATAACCTCTTAAAAGTGAGAAGTTGTTGTCATTAACTTAACAAAACAAAACAAAACAAAACTTGGCTTGTAAAGCTTTGATTAGTCTGGAATCACCATTTGTTTACAGCGGCCAATGTTAACTAACATTAGCAAGCTTCAGATATCTGTCACCAAAGCTGTTTGACATTTTAGTTCTGTATTTATACTAATGTTAATGTTAGGGACTATTGCAAAAACAACTTGTAAGGCATTTCATCGAGTCTGTTATCTGATGAGCAGGCTCACGCAGAGCACAGACGCAGATGGAAACAAACAATTTCCTTTAGCCTTTACTGGCTAAAGTACAAGTCAAAATCCAAAAAGAGGCAAATAAAGCAGAAACCTCAATGACAAACTCATATGCACCTGAAAAAACTGGGAACAAAGCTAGGTGGAAAAAAGGAAAGGGGGAAAAAACAGTGAGTAAAATCAAAACAACAGACAAGAGAAAGGTTCAAAGTAAAACAGAAAGTGGTCAGAGGACAGCTGAGACAGAGATAGGAACCTTAACAGTAAGAATGAGAAAAAATACAGTAGAAACAAATATGTAATATGGTCCAAAACAGAAAAAACAACACCTCAGGACGATGACAGCATCTAAAGAAATTGTATTGACATTTGGCACACTTAAAGTCAGTGTGAAATGGTGGGCAAGCGTCCTTGCCCTCTGAAATCCATCTACTGTTAGAAAAAATGTGGAGGGAGTATAACCTAGACTCCCTCTATAACCTATAACCTATGCACAAAACTCTTGAGTTGCATTTAACTGTTTAGACTGAGCATTTAATGTTGAGAATGTCCACAGTTTGTAAAAAGTTGTACAAAAGCCTTTAGAGAAAAGAAAATGCTTCTGATTAGAAGCAACACTACACTACACACTATACAGTCTCATTGTAATATAAGTACATCATAAGTGTTAATATAACTAACAGTAATGGTTTCCATATTGTTGAAGGCGCTTGCAGTAAAAGCATGTAAACATTTACAGTGTGATACAGATGGTGGGGCATCCCTGTTTAACATCTGTTTTTTGTCTAATTCTCAGTCCTCAGTGGGAACCATTTATCTCTTGTCTTCAGCTTAAAGATTTCCATCCGCCCCACTCATGAGAACAATTTTAAAGAGGGGTTTCCTCATTTTCCTTTCCACCACAAAACAGTTATGCCAAAGCCACTCTCTAATTTCCCTCCATATTTTGTGTAGCCCTGGAAGTGCTTTAGACAACACACGTGAATCATAAACAAAAGTATGCATGCCCTCTCTTCCTGTTTGGCTAGTGGTTTACTTCACAATTACATGTTTTCATCAGTCTGACGTTTTGCCTTTTCTTGTTTACCTCATGTGTAAAACTGCATCATTTCCACTGTTACAGTGCTCCCACCCCCACCCCAGCTTTACCATGTTGCTGGAAAATAACTACCCAGTGCCCCTCATCCGCAAAAACATTTCCTCCCCTTTGTGTTGTGACATAATCCAAAAATTAATTATGATCTTGAGAAGTTCATGTGATGGGAGCCAGTCTAAAGCCCACTTGTCCACTTGATTTAAAACTTGCTAAATAAATGTTTGATTTTTTTTGACAATAACGTAACAAGCTTATGAACTAAAATTAATAATGTCTGAATTTCTATTATATGAACAGAAAAATAAAGAAAACTATTAGGAAACCCACAAAGAGGATGAAGAGAGATAACAGGACCACATCTTTTTTTCTTCACAAACAGGACAAAAGCTCATGGAAGTCTAATGGAAAATCAAGAGGAGCTACTTTTAAGTATGCATAGCACATGGAACTCAGAAAGCCAGGGTTTTATCACTTCCTTCCTTTATTTTTCTTTCCTGTAAATCTGCTCGTGTGGTTCTTTTGAAAGATTTTCTGACAGTGACAGTTTTTTTAAGGTTTTATGACAGTGATGATCCATAGTGAACCGCTATGGGTGTGGCAGGTCAGTGGAAAAACAAAGTTAAAGAGTAGGCAGAATAAATGTTACAGATTTTGGTGAGTGGAACACTTGGTCAGACATGAAAGACAACCAGCCTGTTTTCTGTTTTCACTTGGTTTTTCCAACTTTCCATTCGTTTTTGTACTTCTGTATTTGTTATTTGATTGTTAAAGCTACAGAAGAGGGTCGGTAAAGTTGGCTGGTCAATATATGCAAATTAGACAGAAAACTGTTTTTGTTAACTGCACAAATGAGTATTGTTGAAAATCACAAGACTGGTGGGAATTAAAGGATCAAGGCTGGTAATTAAAGGGTAAGCCACTTTGATGACAACTAGGTGACTAAGCCTTTTAAAAGACTGGCCAATATTGTGAGTTCCTTGTGCGTCATCTCTCCCCAGACGCTGGATTTGTCATCGTGTTGTTAGAGGGTTTGTTGTAATGTTCTGTTCAAAGGAGAAGCCCAATGAGATTCTTCACTCTTAATCATGATAGCAGCATGGCTTTAGGGGTGGCAATATTGGTCTGGAATTGTTACAAAACGTTTTGATGGATGGATGATTAAATTGTGCAAAGGCTTTAGGTGCCAGGAAACAGAATTACTTTGACAATCCAAGGAATTTCCTTTTCATTTAATATCTGTGGTTTTGACTCAGTTGGTGGATGGTTTGCAAAAACAAACATGTCTCTGTGTTTGTTTGTTTATTTGTCCCCCAACTCCTGCTAGCCTAGGAGTTAAGCAACCACACTTGACACACATGCAAATCTGAGGCCCTTGAAGGTTCGTCTATATCAAATCTTATATAGCATTACTGTGTTGCCTAACAACCATTTAGCAATGAGCTAAATGGGTCTGTTTCTTTATGCACCTTATATAAGGATTGTCATTTTATTTTCATGACTGTAACATCTCTTTAAAAAACAGAGTACAAGTCCTATTAACCGCCTAGTAATGAGATAGAATGACAAATTCTTAGCATTTTTAGCATGTACATTTCTTCATGTAATATTCCAATCCTAACACCTATTTTGTTTCTTACCTTATTTTTTTCCCCTGAGTATATTAGTCGCCACCCAAAGTCCAGCACCCTGAGGCTGAAAGAGGACAAAGTTTATTGAGTGTAAGAGCCACAATTTAAGACAAATCATGGAGCATCTGTGAATACATCAATAAGACGGCCCCTTTAGATGGCTGCTCCAGAAATGCCTCAGGCAACTGAAGACAGACAGTGATGTGTGCTATGGGGGATTGCATTTATTTAATTTTTTTTTTTTCTGCAGAGGCATTTTCAGTTGTTTATTTGTCACATACTGCGACTGAATGTCTCAGTGACGTGATTTTTGTTTTGCTCAACAAACAATGGCTTCAAAGGAAGAAAAACTTTTATAGGACAAAAAATTGTTTTTGTTTTGTTTTTGTTACAATAAGAAAAACAGACTCCTCAGATGTATCCTTTTAATACAAAAAAGTCCAACGCAAAGTGGACATGCGACCAGTGAGAAAACCTTATAAATATTGTAAATTTCATTTTTAAGGTGTCTTATGGTGAATTGTTGTTTTTGCCAAGATTTTCAAGGTTTCTGAGAAAAACAAAAACCACTTCCCTTTGATAATTAAATGTCTGTCAGCATAACTAAGACAAACAACTATGTTAATGGAGGCGTATCCTGCCGTGAGATAGAGCTGAAGTATTACACTGAATGAAATACAACACTTGAGCAGGATACAATGAAACAGTCATCATCACATTTTATTTTGGGCTTGTCTCTGTATGGATCCACACCCTTGTCAGCATAATGGCTTTGTGCTAATCTGTTGACATGACAGTGAATGCATTCACTGAGGCTCTCCTCCTAGGAGAGAAACTTTTACATTTTAAGGTGTGATGAAGACTTCATCATGTTCTTTAACCTGCATAATAGTAGCATGCACAACAAAAATTAGGTTATAAAATCTTTCTCTTATCTAGTAGATTATTTTCATTTTCACAATAGCTTCTCAATCCGTTCAATGAACCCATTCAGTTATATTTTTTATCAATTTTGCTCCTTGGTCTTGGAAATTCCTTTCATATTTAATAGAGCCAAATCTTGCCTGATCAAAGAGGAAAAAACTAAAGAACATAATGAAAAAAAAAACTACACAGCCCTTTTCTCATGGGAGTGCAGTTTACTCTTTTTTTCCGCAGCTTAGATCTCAACAATAGACAATGATGAAAAGAAAGTCAGGAGGCAAAGAATGCAGCTGATTGTATCTTTAGAAGTCACCACTTCATTCTACTGACTGAATTAACCACACTGTATGCACTGCATCCCTTTCTAACCTCCTTTCTTCTGGCCAAATGAAACAACACATTAACATATAACATGACATGTAAAGTTATGGTGGTAAAATTGATCAAAAGCTGCAAACAAAAAAATGTTTTCGCAAGAACAACAAGAAAACAACATTATTGTATTTACTCTGTTTTATAACATAAATAATATATAAGCAGCAATAATAAAGTACAATAAAATATTTACAAATGTCTTTTAAAATAATGCAAAAATCAAATATAATATTACAAAAGGCAATCCAAGTTTGATACTTTAACTATGTAAGCTCAGCAGGGTGGATTATCTGCCAAATGAACTGCGGCAACAATGAAAGTAAGTTGTCTTTCCCCGTCAACTCAGAGAGGCACTGTTACAGTTTGATGGTACATCCTTGGGCCTTTTCATAAAGGTGAAATTCCATGTGAACTAGTGTAAAAAAACAGCAAAAAAACAAAACATTAAGTTGACCTTCATTCACAAAGTAATGCAAAAAGGGAAATGATGCATCATTCTTTTTTAGGCTTCGATACAACACTAGCAATACTAATATTAACAACCTAAACTTACAGACAGAAAAATGGTTAAATATGTCTCTGGTGTATTTTGATGGTTTTATACAGATACCTGGGTGAGGCAGGCAATCTAAAGATTTTGGAAGTGTAATAACCCCGGCTTCTGGTCTTCTCTGGTGTCATATGAGCTATGGTGCCATTAAATAAGGAATTTGCATCAGAATTATGGAGTTATATTACTTTTATGTTAAAAATTTATTAGTTTTATTGCATTCTTAATTGGCAATAAAAAGTGTTAGGTGTTAGTCAATTCAACATTGATAAATTAATTACTTAACAAAATGACTCTGTCATTGAATGTATATATGAGATGTATGTAGCCTTAATGTCTGAACAGTTTAATGACTGAGCACTTTAAACCTACATTCTTTCTAACGGCTAGTAGAGGAAGACTCTTGTCACCACAAAAGAAAACTCCCCTTTGGATCCCTTCATCAGTAAACACTTTCCAGGTGAGTTTTTGGTCTTAATCACTTGTTTGTCAGGTAGGTTTTTTGTAACCTTACCATATAAAACACTTTGATGTGACTGTAAGATTGAATTGAATTTGAATAGTTTCACATCTCGTGTTGTATGGTTGTAAAAACCTAGCAAGATATCTACTCTTCAATCATTTATACAGGCGATCCTAGTCGTCTTGGTTTGGACAACCATTCAATAAACACAGTTGTTGTCAATCAAACAAATTCCCAAAAACAATAAACATGAATCGAACTTCTTTATTGCAAAAAAATATGAACAATATTTATTGCTTTGTATGTCTATATAAGTATTCTACGTAAAAACAATGTCATCTGTTTTCCTGTCATAGGCCAGTTTTGCCGGGGGAGATAACATTGCTTTATGTTAATGCGATGTGGTTTTGATACATTTTGATTGACAATGAGCCATATGACCCATATGAGCCATATCATATGCTGTGTCGTCAGTTTATTAGTTATATCTGCTCTATGTTCATCATGTCAGATTTCAAAAAAAGACAGGTGAAGGTAAAAATGCTCAGGTTGTTGTGGTACTTCACAAACTAATGGAGATGTAAAGGCAGCTAGGTCCATCTTTTTTAAGCATTCTGTGGGCATAAGCAGCAAAATATCTATCCATCCATTTGCTAAATTTATTATAACAAATGTTCTGATTCCTTATGGCTGTGACATACAAATCAGCAAAAAAACAAAGAAAGAGATTTTGTTTTTTTGCTGATTTGTATGTCACAGCTGTTTTTGTTAAAGGATTTCCTCCTGACTTCCCTCATTCCTCAGCAGTCCGGAAACACACACACGCACATCTGAATTTCAAAGACTAAAATGTAGTGGATAGATTTAAACTGCTGCAGCCTATTGACGATATATTACTGTACAAGTCCATATAGGTTCTGAAAATACAGCTCTAAATATTCAAAGGTCAAAAGAGCAGAGCATGCAAAGAGAAGTAGCAGAGGCATATAGAGTAAAATCAAATGTAAGCCATGCATGATGAAGTTAAGAGTAAAAAAAATGGAACTTACCCTTTTCTTCTCATGTTAAACTTGTGCAATAGGATAAAACCTATAATTACACCTGCGAAAAAAACCCCATTAAATAATATTTTGGTTTTGTTCTCATTTCCACAACAAAATGCACTATATAAATTCCAAAAGAAACAATATACATTACCTAACAAAACCACAGCACCAATGACCACAGCAGCCACTGTTCCTGGAAAATGACAAGCAAGGTTAAACGCACATGGAAAAAAATACAATAAATGTTTCTTATTAAAACTGGGGTTAAAAAACTCACCACTGTCCGTGGCAGTATTTACATTCCCATCATGCATGCCTGCAAACAAATATACAAAAAACAAACAAACAACCACAGTTTTAGTATTCGGTTTAAACTGTTAGGGATAGATAGATAGATAGATAGATAGATAGATAGATAGATAGATAGATAGATAGATAGATAGATAGATAGATAGATAGATAGATA